TGATTTGCCGCTTCCTGAGCCAGAAGAAGGCAAACACAATAACAAGAAGCCCTGCTGAACCAATAGATGACATAAGAATGCTCAACTTCAACTTCAACTCAAATGAATCGTTAAATCCCCCTTGAAACTTAGCAAATTCCACTGCCTCAACTCGAACATACAAATCCTGGAAACTAGCAGGGAAATACACTATATCCACTGACTCGACTCTACTGTCACTCCAGGAATTGGCCAAGTGTAACCACTTCCTAAAGCGTAGTATAGCGGGTTTAGGTTTAATTATCAACACGGGTCCTAGATTTGCTGACTACTCAGTGAGTTCTTGTTATCTGGCAATAAAACTGGAGTGCAAGTCTAAACTACCAAACAAACAAAGCAAGTAAACTTGTTGTATTCAGGTTAAAGAGGTCACCCGGATATGGTTCCCCCTAGACTGCAGTTAAGCCGGATTGTAATTACCAAGTTCAGTTTCTATGACAGTTATACTGCGGAAGGTTCTTAAACAGCCTGAAGTCTCGACTAAAGGTCTTCAGACCCTCTCAATCTGACTCTCTAGCGGGCGACTAACCTCCACCGGAGTCGACAGATTGAGGCCCTAAGAACAAAACCTCCACTACCGGAGTAGATCCGGTACAGAATAGTGAGTTGGCTCCTCGACTAAAGTCACCAACTCCCTACCTTCAATCAAGGATACTCTATTAACCTAGGCAGATATTCTCATTCTAGGTTAAAGCAGAAACAACAGGAATTTGATCAGGATTCAAGTCATTCAATCATTAAAACCTCAATCGAATATAATCAATCACAGAATCAGTACTTGGGTTCATACAATCAAAGCCTAACATACAAATCTAGGGTTCTCCATACCCAGATGAATGAGAGAACTACTCCATGGAGAAGAAAGCAAAAGCAGAATCAGACACGGAATTCATACTGCGAAGGATGGATTCCTGCTTCTGGACGTTGATTGGCACTTCCCCAAGCTCAAGCTGGCCTCCAATGGTGTTGAAGGTCAATCTAGGGCACTTGGGAACTCTTGCTCGTCACTTTCTCTCTCTAGGAACTGATCTCTCTCTCAAAAACTCGAATCCCCTTCTGTTTGGCTGAAAATCTGCTTAAAAAGGCATCAGCCAAAGCACGGTCGAGGGCACGGCCGTGTAATGCCTCAGCCCGCCCGTGCTTTGGCTAGTGTTAATTACACTAGCAGCAGTGGGGAGAAACACGGCCGTGCTTCGCTTTGGACACGGCCGTGTAATGCTTGAACACGCCCGTGCTTTGTTTTGGCCCTGCCCGTGTAATCAGCTCAGCTCTCGGCATAAAAAGCACGGCCACCAGAACACGGCCGTGTAATGATTTAGGTGTGCCCGTGTTTTGGCTCCAGCTCACCGAAATGACTTCCGAATGCCCCGAAACTCGCGCTTAGCCTTCCCTTTGACACCTGGGACCTGAAACATGACAAAATAGCACAACCCGGCGTAAAATAGGCCACAACACACGAATATGCCCCTCAAACGGATAAGAACTAGGGGCGCAAACATGTGCAATTACATCGTTATCATCCACCAGTTCTCCATACCACAACAAGAAACCATTGTCATTCAGAGCAACATCTATTTCAGTATATGCAGAACATGAACAGTTCTTCCTGCACTTACGTTCGCAGCTCAGTTCCCCGCTATCATCCTTCCCAATCCAAACTGCCCCTGAACTAACAACCCACAAGAATTCTCTCCCAGTTAGTAGCAAGGACAAGTAGTGCTCAGTCAAAGAAAGCTGGCCTTGTAGATCATCCAACACGATATCATTAGAGCTCTGTGTAAGCTTCATGAACGGTAGAAGATTAGGACTCAGTATCACAACCAACTTGCAGAAACTCTCGAAATTCATGAAGTTCAGTTCTGGATGCTGATTCCTGTGATAGTACTTGTACAGCAACACAGCCGCATGAATCTGTTTGACTATGATTTCTTCATAAGCTAGAGACGGTGTGAATCCGGATCCACATTTTGCCAGCAGCTTGAGGTTAACCAGACTTCCACACAGTGCAAGAATGGCCTCCTTGGTCTGGCAAACTTCAGTTCCCTCCATATTCCATACACAGCGACACTCACCCTGTCCAGAGTCTTTCGCCAGGCTCTTAATCAAGCCCAGAAGCTGCTTGAACGCCAATGCTTCGTGAAGCCAAGCGGTGTAGGGTCCTTGCAAGCTAAGAACAGGGCCTCTCCACTTAGAATAAACCCAAGAGTAACACAAACAGATTTCAACACCAGAATGTAAGACCTCCCATGAGTTCACAGTGACATCCCAAGGTCGAGACATACAAGCGATTGATCGATAATCACAGTCCTTATAAGGGCCTTTGAAATCAGGAGGATTCCTACTTCCATGGAAATGGTGAAGGATGCCATAGTAAGTTGGGAAGACCCGAAACTCAGAACCCCAACTGGCATTGCTGGTCTCGATAGGGCAAGGAAAGAACCAAAAAACAAACGTAGTAGGACAAGGATCACCCAAAATGAAAGCTGCCTTTTCAAAAGTAAGAATTTGATCAATGGCCACTGCAAAAATTATCTCCTGGTTAAGATTACCAGCAGAGGAATCAAACACGACACTATTAATCCAAGGCGTGCTTTTAGTAGTAGTGAGATGGGAAATCCCAAAGCTTGCTTGCAGAGGCCCGTGAGATGACTTCGCTGCTTGCGTATCTGAACTATTCTTGTGAGCCACAGTACTGGCAAACGAAGAGCCTGAACTCCCAACGCCAATATTAACAGTAGAAGAAACTGCTGCCGAGCCCATTACAGGAGATGAATTCAGTTCAAGATTGTGGACTAGGGTGGCACTTGTCTCGCCATTCTCACACAACCTAACCCATTCCGCCGGGTCGTCACCGAGGAAGAAAGGAATATTTTATTTAGGAAGTAGTGGGTGATCGGTACCTGGAAGTGAAGGTAGATGGGAAGCCCCCAGCTCCGCATTCGGTTGCCGGAATTGATAGAACGCAGCCACCATATTCAGCTGTTCGTGATTCCCAAATTGATGGATCAGCTCGTCGACGAATTGCCCCCAAACCAACGGAAAGCGCCGGAAAGACCACTCCTCAAACCATGTACGAGCTCTCCCTTCCAGATAGTACGAAACCAAGTCGACCTTCTGCTCCTCCGGAATTGAATAGAGCAGAAAAAACTTGGAGCACTTGCTTACCCATTCATGAGGACCAGTTCCAGAAAAGTAAGAGAACTCAAGTTGAGGATAATTATCCAGCAACGTCGGACGCAGCTGCGGCAGGCGGACGTGGTGGTGCTCGGAGAGATGGCTGTGATTCCCGTCCGGCGGGGAACGGATCGAAGATTTCTCTCGGAGGTGCGTCAAGGAAGCAGTGATGGCGATGATGCTCTCTCCCGTTGGAGAAGGAACCTGGGGGTCTGTGGCCGAATCATGCTGCCCGGAGAAGGGGGAAAAAGGAACCCACACATGAGGATCCCGAATCGATGGTCGCGGCAATGGCGGACGGAACTGCCGTTGCTCAGCGAACTGATTGGGATTCTCATGCCATGAAGAACGGAGAGGAGAATTGGTCCGCCGACGCTCCAACGAAGCAGTGAGGGTGTCGATTTTGGCCTTCGTCGAAGCATCCATCGCGGCAATGGCGTCCTTCAGCTCCCGGTGTTGAGAAGCCATCTTGAGCTGGGCATCCGCCATTTGTGTCTCCAAATCAACGATTCTCGCTGTATTAGTCGCCATTGGTGCCAGATGACAGGCTCTGATACCACTTGTAAGGATCGTTGTTGTGGAAATCTGGCGAAGGAGTGAATGGAAGAAGAAGAAGATGGAGATACAGAGAAGAGAAAAGGAGTTTTATTTCTACAGCTAAACGAACCGAATTGGTAAAGTAACTATGCTTCTGTTTTTTGGGTAAAAGATGGCCACAGTAAAGAAGGCCTTCCTATTTATACTGAATGACTCTCTGTCCACGTCATTGCCAGTTGTCTTCCGGGCTGTTACATTCATTTATGTTTTTCTTGTAGAGATTGTGAGTTCCCAAAGGAATCATACAGATACTAGTGTAGCAAACCCCACAGCCAAAGCTAATCTGTTAGGTACAGACGCCCAATAAGGACCACCCTCTTCAGACCAAGCTATCAATTTAAAACTGAAAGTATTCCTTTTTATCTTTATTGGGATCATAAACATTATGCTCGAGAAGAATCATGCGCTACAATCTACAAGCACGAGGCTGGAATGGAGATATAAATCAATTTGGTACAACTTTTCCATGCGCATTTTAAATCACAGCATGAAACATATCTTTAGAGCTAGGTAGCTGTATTATGCCTGGTCTGGTGCCCAAAATATTGATCGATATGATCTAACTCCTAGTGATAGTATTCTGCCTGTTAATGGTGTAGAAGGACTCAACTAACTAGCTAGCTAGGAAGCATGCACAGCACATAGCTAGTTAAACCAACCCAAAAAATGAAGCACAAACTTGGAATAGGCTGAAATGTTCGTTTTGAAGCTTTTCTATGGATGGATGCATCATCTAAAGGGAGAGTGTCTGGCAGCAGTACTTGCAACCCTAGAAGACGACAAAGGCATCTCATATTTCATATGTACACACAGCTGTTCGTCAGTGGTTAGTCGTATGGTCTAATATTCTCTCCTGAGAGCTGTCGTACCAAATTTCCCGATCTTGCATTAAGAATTATATTGCTGAAGGGAGAGTTTTTGCTGTTGGGAGTTTTTGCTGTTTTTCACTTCTCTGCTATTATATTAATGCTTGCAAGTCGAAACAGCACCATTATTATGGCCTATCTTCTGCAAGTGTTAACTGATGATAAATGAGACTTCATACGACCAAAGGGACAAGGAAGGTAAAGTTGTTTGTCTTTGGTTAATTTAGGCCAACCAACGCAACCATACATAGATTTTCATCGAAGAAAAACAAACACAGGCTTAGGGTTTCAAAGAGAATATCAACGAAGCTCTAGGGTTTCTTGCTACTATTGTATATTTTATAGCGCAACAATTAAACTAAAGAGAGAAAAAAGTTGTCTTCCTTTTCTGATGCGATTGATGTTGCACAGGCATTTCAAAAATTGACAGAGAAAATATTGTCTACTTCTGCCTTGACACCGATTCTTTCTGATATATGATGATGATGATGATAACGATAACCGACCAGAGAGTGCTGCCGCATGAAAAAGCTTTAGCATACATGATCACTAATGCTGAAAATAACCAAAAGCCACAGACTGAAGATCATCATCAGCTTGATCTTGAGGATGGTTATAAGCAGAAGCCGGCCGCCACCTCCTGCTGTGTTGTTGATCTGTTTCATTGATGTCCATGGAAGACATTGAATTAGAAGCATCCTCAAAGCTGTCAAATGAAGTGCTGGAGTTATTACTTCCATAGTTCCCCACATAGCCCCCACCACCAGCAGCAGCTGCCATGTTCATGTTGTCTGGGCTTTGGTTGTATGGCTGTGGCACCATGTTGTTGCTGTTGGGGACTCCACATGGATACTGATCTTGCAGCCAGCTCTGCAGATCTTGTATTGGGTTATGAGCACTGTGATGATTTCCATAGTGTCTGTGGTCACTGTTGTTAGGGTTTGCTGATGTGGCAGAGCTCATGTTGTAGGCAAAGTTGTGATGGGAAGCTTGTTCCCTCATTGAAGCTAGCTGAGCCTGTAGATTCACAACCTGAAACCAGAGGAAACCAAAACAACAAGTTACAGTCAAGCCAAGAATAGGGTTTTTGGCCCCAGGAATCTGGGTTTCATACTAGCTAGAGTCTTAGAGCATATATATATTAAGTGGTTAGTTAATTAGTCAATTAAGTGGTTAATTAGTAGTTATATTACCTGCTGCTGAAGAGCAAAGATGTGGGAGACACAGCCATAGATGGGGTCTTGGAGCCTGGCCTGAGCTTCATAAGAGATGGTAACCGCGGCCTCGCAACGATCGGTGACAGGCAAGTGAGCAAGCAACTTGGAGACATTGCTGGCACCAAAGACCTTGTGGATTGCAGCAAAATGGGCAGCACCTTGCTCATGGCAGAAGTAAGGTGCAAATACACATCCCCTCGCGCATTTCCTCCTCAGGAACTTGCACGCTCCACAAGGCGAACCCGACCCTGTCATGATTTTTTTGGTACTGACTAAAATGGCTCAAGGGAAGTTTCTGATGAGTTTGGTTCTTCTTTGATGGTGAGGTCTGTAGCTAGCTAGCTAACTCAGCTTTTTTAGTGCAAGCAATAATATTATCAAAACCAGGGTTTATAAACACTTGTGGAAGGGCAAGGTGGGCCAAATAACAATCATTTCTTTATTACAATTGGTTCCCTTTGTGGCCAACATGTTTGATTATTCTTCTGGGTTTTCTTTTTGCCTTTTTCCTCTGGATCAATTTTTAAAAAACCCATCTTGCTTACTTCCCAATTTCTAATCTTTCTGAAATATGTTTCTCAGGGTTATGATTAAAAATAGATATAATCACACGCTTCGATGAGATTCCTCTCCAGACCATCTTTCCTCATAACGACAGAACACAGCAGATAGAAAGGGAGCAAATACCAAACCTCCATTTCAGTTTGCTTCATGATTGGACTCTGTTTCGCCTAATCACAGTACTAATTAATAATAATAATAATAATAAAATGGTCTGATATATATTATAGGGAAATTCTCTTGCGTCCTTCTCACATATATGTTATCACCATCACTACAGTTTTAGTTCAGCAGCTCCTATTATAAAATCCAGCTTTACCTTTTCCCCTTTTCACTTTGTACATCGCCTCTGCCCAGTAACTTAAAATTGTCGATTTGTAACATTGGTCGAGTACCACCAATAGAAAAAAGGTTAAAGTGCAGAGTGTGTAACATTATTGGTCCATAATCGTCTCCCACAAGTGCCAGTAATATGCATATTTAACATTAGTAAGGGGAACAAGAAAACGTTGCATGCACATAGAGCTAATGATTGCAGACATAGAAACCACCTGGCTGGCTGGCAGCCTTCGATGGGTTAATTCCCCTGCCATGTGAGGGAAGAAGAGATCATTGTTATTATATAGGGGAGATTCGATGGAAGCTCGCAAATGCCCAGCATATGGGTAATGCAAGCGATCCTGGTACGTGCTTTTCCTAGTACGAAATCCAGCAGAGAGAGATTCAGGTGGTGTTTCAGGTTGGTTAAGGTAGCTGCATATGGGACCTGTTGAGTGAAATCTAGGACTAGGATATGTGGTAGGAAGATTCATCGTGTAGAAGTTGAGGCTGTCACATTCGTCTCTATGCTAGAAAACCCTATATATATTTGTCAACCCTTTAAAGACCACAACCCTTTCCTTGTTTTAATATGCATAGCATATTACTGTGGCCTCTCCACTAGGGGGCAACCGTGCAATGAATACCTGTAACACAATTAGAAAATGTGAGTCAGTCATGGTGGTTGGCTTTAGTTTTCTTTTTTTGGTGTCCACCACTTTTTGCTTATGTATAGGGTATATACATTGTTGAGAATGTAATCACGGCAACGAGTAAAGCTGTTCATGAGCGGTGCTCGACTAAAATAAAAAATAACTCACTTGAAACATAGTTTGTTTATTAACGAGTTGAGTTTGTAATAACACCCTAAATGGGTGTTGGATCAGAATTGCGCAACTTAATCCAAGAAGTTCAAGTTCCTTGTCGAGAACTCAAGAACAGGGTCTTCAAACTGGCTCGGGTAAGCTTGTTTGAAGGGGTTTTCGATGGAAACGAAAGGGGACTCTTACACCAGGAAGAGTACTCGATCGTTATGAGGATGTCTTCGATGTAATCGAGTGGGATTGCTCGATCAATAGGCTCGTTTCAACAAGTTTTGATACAATCAAAACCAAGAACAAACTCTCAACTCAAAACGTTGGGAATTTTGGGGTTTTCTTCATAAATCAACTCTGAATGTTACAATTTGAGAATGAGGCCTTTTATAGGCTTAAACAACTACAAACAAACTAGAACAAGGACTGAAATTAACCTAACTAAACAAGGAAACTGAATTACAAGTATAATCCGAATTGAACTAGGAGTCCTTATAGGACTCGGATTACTGGCAGTGCGAGGTAGCTTCTTTGAGGCCCTTGAAAATGATATTCCACGTTGAACCAAGCTTATCCAACGCCTTCCCTGGGTTTATGTACTGTTCTTGTCTTAGTTCCAACTTGAATCAATGTCTGATCGTGCCCCAAACTCGAGATATGGAGTTCCAAAGATGGCACCTTGAACACGTCAAATGCCTTAGTAAAAAACAACCAGTTTCTCGGTTCTGAGCTAGCATCTTGGTGAGCTTTGAAATCAATCTTCTGGACTTCCCCTTGATCCACCAAGCACTTGTCATTGAAGAAGACCTTCCTAGCTTCAAAACAAGCTATTACAAACACATTTTCATGGAGCCATTCCCTTGATCCAAGCCTTCCAATTAGGTAACCTGAAACAACAAAAAGACTTGGCCAATTTTCAGGTTCATTGTTGTGTAATGAACTGGCTTCTTGATCACTCCATGGAAGCTTAAATGGTTTATGATTTGGGATCATATCAGTTTGAGAGAAACTTTTGTTTACTTCGTGAGACTCGTGAACCAGCTGGACTCGCTGTTTCATTGAGCTTCATCAATATGAGCTCACAAGATGGCTCGATAATTTGGCTTACAAGCTAGCTCGACTAGCAGCTTATTAAATTATAGCTTATGAGTTGGTTTCTAGATGATTGAAGGTTTGTTAGATTATGTATTTCATAAGATAAGATCGTTTAAGACCGTATGTGACCAAATATGTTTCATTGTAATTTAAAAGGGAAATTAATTATTTTTAATTTCTTACTTATTAATTACTATAAACTAGTTAGAATCTATGAACTAAATAAGATACAAACAAACTATTAGAGTGTAGGATCAATTAATCATTAAAATTTACTATTGCTCTATTTTTTCCCCAGAACAAATCTTAGCTCTGATACCTAAACTTGAAGTGGTGGATAAAATGCAGAACTTTAGGCCAATATCATGTTGTAATGTTGTCTATAAGGGTATCTCGAAACTGTTAGCAAATAGGCTATCCTCAGTGTTGCCAAAACTCATTGGGGTAAGTCAATCTGCTTTTGTTAGAGGTAGGCTCATTAGTGACAATATTCTTATGGCAACAGAGCTGGTTAAAGACTATCATAAGGTCTCCATTTCATCTAGATGTGTTTTGAAGATTGACTTGATGAAGGCATTTGACTCTGTGGATTGGAAATTTTTGTTAAAAGTTATGGAGGCTATGAATGTTCCTGTGAGATTTATAAAGTTAATTGAAGCTTGTATTACAACTCCTATGCTAAGTGTAGCATTCAATGAAGGTCTCTGTGGGTATTTCCCAGCTGGCAAAGGGTTAAGACAAGGGGATCCCTTGTCTCCCTACCTATTTACCATTGCCATGGAAGTCTTCTCATGCATGTTAGCTAGGGATGTATCTCTAAACCTGATTCCATATCACCCAAGATGCAAAAGCCTGGAGATCACCCACCTCTGTTTTGCAGATGACCTACTGGTCCTCTCAAATGGATCAGTTAGGGCAGTTGCTGGAGTCAAAAGGTTATTGGATAAGTTCTATTATGTGTCTGGTTTGAGATGCAACTTGTCCAATTGTCAGTTGTTCTGTGAAGGGATCTCAAAGGAGGAACAGAAATGGATTTCAGACCTAACAGGGTTCCCTTTGGGGGAGCTGCCAGTGAAATATCTGGGTGTCCCTCTTCTATCTGGTAGACTGTCAGCACAAGATTGCAGTAATCTGGTGAGTAGAATTACTAAGAGAATTACAACTTGGCAAGCAAAAACCCTTAGCTATGCTGGGAGAATCCAACTGATTTCTTCTGTTATCACTAGTGTGTTCCAGTATTGGATGACTGTTTTTCTATTGCCAATGAGAGTTTTGAAGGCAATTGAAGAGGTGTGCAATAAGTTTCTATGGGGGGTTGGGTTGAATGGAAGAAAGAAAGCTCCTGTTTCTTGGTCTAAGGTTGCCTTGCTCAAAGCAGAAGGGGGGTTAGGGATCAGGGACTTCAAGACTTGGAATAGGGCTTGTGTATTGAGACATTTGTGGAATTTGTTGGCTGAGGCAGGGTCTTTGTGGGTTGCTTGGATTCAGAAATACAGAATTAAAGGGCGTGACATTTGGGAGATCTCTGCAAGCTCAGTCAGTTCATGGATATGGAAGAAAGTACTTAAGTGCAGAGAACTAGCTAATACTCACATATCAGGTTCAGGTAATGATCTGGCTTGGGATGGACAAAAATTGATGAAATACTCTGTTAAGCTAGTTTGGGCTTCTATACGTGTTCCAATTGCTCCTGTTGAATGGTATTATGTGCTGTGGGGAAAGCCTTTTATTCCAAAGCATAGTTTACTGGTTTGGTTGATTATTTTAGATCGAATTACCACAAAGGATAAGCTGGTTAGCTGGGGATTGGAAAGTGAGAACTGCTGTGTCCTTTGCCCTGGTGGTATGGAAAGTAGAGATCATCTTTTTCTGTTTGTTCTTATAGTGCTGGGATCTTTCAGTTGGTGTTGAAGAAAGTCTGCAGATGGTCTCATTTCCCAGATTGGAGCTCTCATTTGGCTTGGGTGACGCAGAGATGGTCAAGTACAAGCTTGACAGCTAAAGCAGGAAGACTTTTATGGACAATGTGTTGCGCTTATATCTGGAGGGAAAGATGTGCTCGAGTTTATGGTGATAGAAGAGTTTCAGACCCTACTCAAGTTTCAAACGCGATTTTGCAGGAGTTCAAGATATATGTAGGCAGTATAGTAGAAATGCAGAGGATAGTTATAGAAGTTGTGGATTTATAGTCTCTGTTTTTGGTCTATTGATATGTTACTAGTATAGGGATACTGGTGTGTAAACGTTGATACTTTGAGAGGGAGGCTGCGAGTTGCAACTCCCCGGGCTTCAAATACAATTTTGATTAACCATAAAAAAAAGATTTTAGAGTTTACGTAGGAGGCTCAGCCATTTAGAATCATAAATGTTGAGGCGAGCTCGACTGGATCAAAGCACGTGAACTCGTTCATGAGTTGAGTTCAATTCAAACTCAAGCCGACCTTAAGCCACGATTTTAGTAAAGGATTCGGGTTCCACTCTCTAAATACAGATAAAAATAAAACAAATTCCGAAACTACCACACTTATAAAAAATTTTTCTCAAAATACCTAAGTTTGGAGTGGTTCGAGTTTGAGGAA